GTACATTTGGACTTGCGCGCTTTGCAGTTTTAGGAGAGATAAAGACGGCTACAACTTTCTGATTAGCAGTTTTAAAAGGACCAAGGATTGCGACCATTTCGTGGTGGTTTGTAATTTTTAGGCGAACTATAGGCTAGTGCAGTTTTGGTTTTGAGGTGTTTTGTTTTTATTTGCTATTTAGTTTGGTTTATTTATTTATTTTTTTTGTAACAAAAGAAACTATTTTATGCAAAATGTGTGCGTACAACAGTGCTTGATAGTACTGGTGTACTTTACGTTCAACAACACTAACTTTTTATGAATGCGAGTTGTTTCTAGTTGCCCATTGTTGATGAGCTGAGGGTACTTTGTTTTGCAGATTTTTTAAACACAAGCTGGGAACCTCGGAATAACCTGTGCTGATTCGCGTTTGAACTTTATGATTAATATGCCTGAAAACGTCTTTTTCGGAGGAAATTTTAATTTAAAAAAAGAAGGGGGGGGGGGGTGATCGACACTCTTCGACCTGGCTCACAGTTTTGTATTCTGTGCAGGAGTACCGAGCGTTGTGATGAGGAACTACCCACCAATTTCTGTCCAGATCGGCCTTTTTCCTTGCTACAGAAGTACCGTCGTCTTGTATTTCAGTTTCATAGAGAACGAAAAAAGAAAAAAAAAGACCACAAACTTGATAGTTGATAGCTCTTATGATTTCAGAGCACCAGTCACGCGGCTTCGTCTAATCGGAGATGGTGATTGAATCTCAGGAACCCCCCACCCCCTTTTAAACAAAACAAAACACTCCCGCTCCCCTTAAAAAAGACCCACACACACACTTGCATCATAATGTGTACCTTGAGGTGCCACATCATAAAGTCCAGCCCGTTGTGAGCGCACAGTTAGCTCAGTTGGTATCGCGCGGGTCGACGGGCGTGGATGATCCCGATTCAAACCCATTATGAAATAACGCTGCATTCTTGAACGAGTTGTTTGAAGTTTTCATGAGCCCACTTGTGTCGACCCTTTCGGAGACGGATGATATCATTAATATATACCACCCAGTCTTCCTAAGACCCCAGTTCTACATTCAAGTAAGTCAAGTAATATCTTCAGAGGTCCCAACAACCTCTTGAGGGAACTGTAACGAGAGGGGTATTAAGTGTCAGCGCTCAATGCTCAAACTTACTGCAGGATTCGGTTTTCGATTCGTCGTGCGGCCTTTCGTTTCGACAACCTGATAGATTTTTTGGATTTTTTTTATTAACGCCCAAACGAGACAAACCGCGAGTACTCAGCGAGCCATAAGGCATTTAAAGTACACCAAAGACGTTATAAATAGAACTATTGTAACCTCTTTGGAGTACACTAGCTTTTTATGCCTCTCCGACCTTACGTCAGCCGAAAGTGACAGTGACATCATTCGGCAAAAGTGCAGAAAGTCGAACGGAAAACCGAATCCACCATGTTCGTCGAGGCCAAACGCTTACGACACAACAAGTTCATATTATTGTCCTTTTATTGCAGCGTTCCCTCGTTCGGGGCTCTCTTATTATGTGGGGCTCTTGTCGTTGGTGATGACTCAATTTTAGTTTGTAGGTTATACTTATTTATACGATCTTTGTCTGGGTCTCGTGGTGGCCGACGCCCGCCCTCACTCGCGGTGCATGATAAGTGCGTGAGTCGAGAGGACAGACGTCGTGTGTTCTCACGTGTCGTGTCGTCTTATTTATATTTACAAGTGTGCAGTTCAGAGGTCGGAGCAATAGGGTCATTATTATTGACGAATGGATGGGGGTTTTTGTGGCTGGGAGGTTGTGTTGTTATCTCTTTGCACAATTGTTGTTTGTTTTAGATTAGAGGGTTTTTTTTTAAATTGTTGTTTTGTTTTGTATTGGGTTTTTTTAAGGTTCCTTTTTTTCTCAACACATTAAAAACAACCGTTATTATTATTATCGTTGTTGATTTTTTTGTGTGTCTTTCATTGAATATACCCTATTCAGGCAGTTTTGATTTTTTGTGTGTGTGGAAAAAACGTTATGATGTGTGAAGTGCACGATATCAGTGTGGAATTCTGGCTCATACCAGTTTGATCCACCCAAGGTTGTCCTCTGGCCTTACGTGGCCCTATAGTGCGATGGCCCGAGCGATCAGCGAGCCTACGGTAACTCGACATAACATTGTGTATTGGGTGTATTTGTATATCGCAGTGCCCCTCGGAACTCTCAGCTTGTACGACGTTACTATTTGGCGATTATAGAGTTTGTATTTTTGTTGGAAAATTAGCCTTTTTCACTTGTGCCTCTCACGCATCTGGGTCGAGGTTGTATGCTGCTGCTGCTGCTGTTGTTGTTGTTGTGGTTGTTGTTGTTGATGATGATGATGATGATGAAGATTATACTGCTGCTGCTGCTGATGATGATGATGATGATGATGATGATGATTATAATGCTGCTGCTGCCTCTAATGCTGCTGATGATGATGAAGTTGTTCTTAGTCAGTTAGAACTGCTGCTGATGATGATGAGGATGTTGGTGTTGTTGTCGTTCTTATTCAGTTTGAACTTACTCCTGTTGTTGTTTAATTTCTTTAAAAATTGAATATAGTTTAATGACTGAAAATGTAACCAACTTTTTCGCTGTGTTCAATCTACTCCTATTTCAGTGCTAGATATAATATTTGTGGTTAGAACAATTAGATGCTGCAGTATTGATTATTTTCAATTGTCAAGGGAATTTTGAGATAAAAAAGTGATAGATTTCATTTTAAAAAAAAATTTTTTGATGACCATCTTCCTCTAAAGTTAGTTACACTATTTTCATTCCTTTCATGCTTTATACTGTCTTAAGTTCAAAATACATGGTTAATCATAACTTAGGAGAAAAAGCCATGTTCCAGTTTCTGTCCAAATTAAAAATGTCTCGCAAATTACATATAATATGTGTGTGTGTGTGTGTGTGTGTGTGTGTGTGTGTGTGTGTGTGTGTGTGTGTGTGTGTAAAACAGACTCAACTATCATATCCATACTTCTCTCCTGAATTAAAAAGGGAACAAAAGACAATTGTTTTCAAAAGAAAGTCATGTGTTTTAAAGCTGATAAAGCATTGATGTCCATATTCTATCATTCAACCATAGAAAGTGTGATCAATTTCTATATGTCAGCATGGGGTGGGAACACAAGGCATCAAGATGAAGGGAAAAAAATGAATCGATTATTGCGGAAAGCATGCAAAATTTCAACATCTATATTCCCCCTACTCCAATGAAGTATAGTTGTTATACATTATTGCTTGCACTAGAAAAATCAATACCATCTTTTTGGATAACCAACATCCACTGTTCCCTTAAATAAAAATATCAATCAGTAGTAAAAGACTTAAGCTTTTGATCTGTAACAAGGAAAGATACAGAAGGTCATTTTTACCTTCATCCTTTAAACTCCTACCATCTTAACAATCTTGTAATATAAGTATACCTTGACTTTTAATTTTAAAGCATGCAATATCAGAACATCAATGGTTTACAATCAGAATACCGATTAAGCTATTAAGTATCCTGCGTAACACTATTACGTTAACAATTATTGTTCATTTATATTATGCGTGTGACTGTGAGCCTGTTTGTGAGTGCTCACATACTATTGTATTAGTATAGCTATGTGCACAGATGTGTGTGGAGGAGAGGATGTGTGAGAGAGTGTGTGTGTGTTTGGGTATGTGTGTGTGTGTGTGTGTGTGTGT